GATTTCCCAGTAAGTGCCGCACTGTTGCTGGCCACTAATGCGCGTCACCCTCTCAGTCACAGTGACGGCGTCCGGACGCGGATCTCTTGTCTTGGCATCTTCTCAATTATGCTGATGCCCGTCAACCAATTAAAATGTGCCTTGGCATCTCCCCCGCTACACCTCCCACACCCATCCTCTGGTCACTTGGTCTGGCATGGGTGGGGGGGAGTTAGGTAAAGCAGACTCTCAATGGAGCTGTGGGCATGTTCCTCACTGCCCACTGTGGTTCCTATAGAAAGTCACTCAGTTTAGCGATTCATCTCCGAGGAAGATGGCCGTGTGACTCTTACATGGGGCGTGTCCACCTTGCGAAAATGTCGCAAGAATTCATCTCTATTTACACAAAAATGTGTAACGACAAAAAGGTACGTTGAGTAACTTGTTGAGTTACTAAGTGGTAGCTACAAGTAAAACCAATTAAAAATGACCAGAAATAACATAGCCTGGAGATTAAGAAGTCATTTTTCTCTTAAACGTCCCTGGAGATACGGCCTCTCCGTGGATTAGTTAAGTGTTTCAGAAATTAGGGGGTAGCTGATTAGAATTATTATTTTTTTAATCATTACATTTTTGTGTTTCTAGTTTATATCGGGCTAAATGTGTCACAGGAGCTGGAAAGTTCGTTAAAATAACTTAGTGTGTGAAGTCGCCATTTCCAGTGACTTTGCAGGGCCCGTCACACGCCGGTCTTTTTGGACCAAACCGAACACTTTTAGTTCTCATCCCTGGAACAAAACGGGGAGGTAGCCCCTGTTGTTACGTTTTGGAGAGTTTAAAGTTGGGGTGTGAGGGGTATTGGGGGAGGGAGGGATGTGTGTGCACTTTTATTTTGAAGTGGATTTGGATGAATGAGCCTGTAGCTGGTTTTAAAATAAAAACCTCTTTTTGTAACCATTGCACTGTTCTGTTGATGCATAATGTCAGTGGTCCTCAGTGAGTGGCAGGCCAGACCCAGCTGGTACCCCTGGTGAGAGAGGGGGGCATGTATGAGAAACATAAAGATACATTCAAGAGCACCCCCCTCCCCTCCCTGCCAGGCTTTGGGTATGAAGGACGTCTTTTCCATACGTTTCCTTGTATATGTGACTGTTTGCCATCAGTGTTCTATGCAAATTATTTCAGCACTAGCTGGTTGCAGGATCAGGCAGCCATGATGCTGAGGTGAATCGCTCACCTGGTAAGAGTGGGCATGCTGGGAAACTGCTTTTAAGGCCATAATGCTTTGTCTGTTTGAAGCACTAAACACTCGTGCATGTTTCCATATAGGCCTGTGTAGGTGCTTTGGCATATTTGCATGCAGGGATATATGTTATGAAACATCATAGTAATGTTATGCTCCTACTTAAAATCCATGGCGGTTTGTTTATGGTAGAAAGAAAAGGAAATGAAAAATATAAAGGAAATAGCTGACTGGGTGGCATGGTGGCTCAGTGAGTAGGTCTGTGGCTCCGCACCTTGAGTGCCATGGGTTTGAATCTGACCTCTGCTCTACATGTTTGTGGTTTGCATGGGTCTACTCCAGGTACCTTGGGATGGCCTTGGATGGCCTGGCATCCTGTGTAAGGTGTTACCCTGCCTACTGTGTGTCTGGGGTAAGCTGGGAGCCCCCATGACCCTGACTGCTGTGAGGAGGGGTGGGTGGAAAATATAAAACCTAGTAAATAGAGGAATTGTGATTATTAGTCCCACAAAGGGTTAGTGGCCCATTTGGGATTATTTCCTGCTTTGCACCCGTAGCTTCTGGGCCCCCCCCCCACTGGCCTCTACATGCTGTGTCCTTGTGTGGGACTGTGGGCCAGGAGGCCCCGCCCCCCTTTGTCTGTGTAGACTGAGCAGTGAATGAGGATAAGTGAGCAGCAGCAGTCAATGAATCAAGTGGCAGGAAGAGCCAGCCGGGGGGCTGGGGAGGGATCGATGTCCCCCCAGGACTGGCGTGCATTAGGAAGTTCCCTGGCTGGGGGGGGTGGCATGGGTTAAATGGATTGCTCCCATTAGCACGCTGAGAGCACAGCTCCATTATGCGAAGGAGACTGTAACTTTGACTGTGACGGCACAGAGGCCGGCCGCGTCTCACGGGGGGGGGGGGGTGACAGTGCCATTTATGATAATCACTTGCTGTCAGCAGTGAGGAACCCACCATCGCCACCTACACTCTGCCACGAGACTCACACATCATTTCACCCCTGTCAGTTAAATGGCGGCTTGCCCCCCCATGTGTTTACTGCCATCTCCCCTTGCTGACGCTCTCTGTACTCAAAGCGTGGTCATCCCCACAGCCTGAAATGTGAAGGGAACATTGTATTTCAGCTCAGCCTTCCACTCCTGTCTTCCATTAACGCCTGGACGGCTTCTGGAAACCTCTGCATAGAGGCAGTGCATCAGCGTGTAAATCCTTGCTCCTCATGTGCAGTCTGTCACATGAAATATTACTGCTGTGGTTATCGGGCTTCCTGGGAACTGCTAGTAAGTGTCGTCTCACAACATCTCCGCAGGCCGGCCATGTGAAGAGGCCGTTCACTCGGTTTACTGTGTTTGTTTTTCAGGATTTTTTTCACGCCGAGTAGGCAGTAAGTAGAGTAGGGCCATTAATATATTTTTACCAATGCATCCTTCTCAATAACAAGAATAATGGGACTTTATGGCTAGATAATTCCATGAACAGAGACCCTGGTGTGGCTGGCCCAGTGTTTCTCCTGCAGGCAGAAGCACGTGTTGATGATCTGAAAGGCTTTCTCCATAAACGCACAGAAAACGGCAAGCAAAAACTTTCAGGGAACACAAACTTCTGTCCAGTGATTAAACATGACCAATGTAATGCAGATTGCTTTTTGAATTGTTTAGAATATATCAAAGTGAAAATTAGAGCATAAAGTATGTCATGTGTAGAGTTTATTTTCATAACAAATCCATTCTACTGTGTGGACAAACTGCATCTATATAGCATATACAAGATTGTATTTAACATGTAATAAAATGATATACTCAAGTGCTTTTATTATATCCACATAAATATTTCATACACATTTCATGCAGTGATCTTGCCCATGAGAATAAAGTCTGTCTTTTAGATTTAGCTGGAAAGTAACACCTGTTCAGTGATATACCCGTGATGGTGATTATATGCCATTGGACGTGTAGTCATCGTGTGGAATGTCGCAGACTCCTCCTATGACCTAGGTGGTGCTATCATAGAATCCCACTCTCTCAAGAGTAGATTCATCCTCCAGAGCATCCCCCAACCCCCCTGCCACCAAACAGCCTAGAGCTGGCAGCCGATTCTGAAGTTGCGGTGCCCCACTTGGTAACAGACCCGCCAATTGGTTTGAGGCCCTCTGCCACCACCAATCCTCGAGCTCTGAGTGACACGTGGGGGGTGAGGAGGGCGGCCAGGCCCCCACCCCCGTCTAGCAACAGGCCATTTATTCTGAGTGGACCTATATCACAGTTGACAGTAATGATTTCCTAGCAAGTAAATTTTTTGTTAAGATTAGTTTTCATATCTCTGAGTGACATTGACAGAATGGCTGTTGTGGTTGTGGGTGGGGGGGGGGGCAAGGAGCCAGATGGTTGATAGGAGGGACTCGACACAGTGGGGGGACGCGAAGGAGGCTGGGGTGGGGTCCAGGAATGAGGCTAAGCGGGGAATAGGCTGCGAGCGGGGGCCAATTACTTCCCGGCGAGCCGTGTTATCGGGGAGGCGTGGTGAAAGTCCCAGTTTGCCACGGTGAAAATGTGCCGTGAATATTCCAGATCGTCTGTGCTGCTGCTGGCGTCTCGGGGTTACAAGGCGCCATCGGACAGCCAGGCTTCCCGAATCTTACGAAGGGGACCCGTCTACCACTGTTCCGAATGAGGACGTGACAGACATGTCTTGTGTCACACTGCAGTTTCATTTTAAATTGAACTGCTGAAGGTAAGGCGCTGATGTGGAGGCAGCCGACGCTGTTGACCAATGGCTGCTGTGCGTCCCATGCTGTCTGAGCGCCGTGAGCTTTCCTCTGAGAGCTGGTGCCTTTTCATCACCTTCGCTTGCTTTTGGCCCTTGGGGCGACCTGTGAGGACCAGCCCAAATGCCACCCCAGGTTACAGCCGGCTAAGTGCGTCGGAGGTCAGAGATCAGACCAGAGGTCTTGTTTCGGCATAGTGGCTGCAGCTGTGTGTGTGTGTGTGTTCCTCTGCTGTTGTTGTTTTGCTGAGAAAATGGCAATTGTACCATCTCTTTTCCCTGGATGTTGCCTTGGATGGAAAAAAAAAACAGAAAAAATGAGCCCCGTTTGCGGCTGGCGATTAGCGAGCCCCGCGGAGAGCAGCCCGTGTGTTCCTGGCTTCCGGGGACACCCCCCATCTTTTTTCCAACCCATTCAGGTCACGGTTTGTTAGAGGGACGCGAGCTGCGGCTTGTGAGAAGTCAGCGGCAGACAGGCTGGCTCACCGGGGAAACCGGGACCCGGCGGGTGGGAGGAGGGGGGGGCGGGCTCCTCTCAGTCCTGGGGGGTGCGGCGCCTTCAGTCCGCCGAGGTCAAGGCCGTGACAAGGTTGCACCCAAAAGGTGTGTGTAGCGCCTGCAGGTGGCGGGGAGCCACACGGGCGGCTCATTTGCAAGCCAGACCATATTTTTACATGAATATCCATGATGTAGCCCCTGTCCAGTGCTGTGCGCCCGGCCCGGCCCGGCCCGGCCCGGCCTCGCCGCGACGCTGTGTTGCGGTGCCGGCTGCAGATGGCGCGGCAGCCCTGCCTTCTGTGCCGCATGACCTTGGCCCGGTGCGGATGGAGAGCAGCACCACTGGAGCATGCCCTAGCAGCCAAACAGATTTATGCCCTGGGATCTGGTGGATTGCTGTGGGCCTCGGTGTGCCGGGAGATTGCCGACCTTTTATTTATTTATTTTGCCAGTGCCATTTTTTAAGTGGCCACCGTTCAGGAAAAAGCTAACGTTTCTCTCTCTTCTTTTACAGGTATCTCGGTGACAAAGAAGACACACACGTGTAAGTATGAGCCGTCCAGCTTTCCAGAAGATTCCTGCCATTGTGCTTGTCGGTGAAAGTAGGTTGAAAGCGGCTGTGTGTCCGAGGGCTCGCTTGGTGTATCGTCGGGAATACACCGTCTGCCCCTCCGTAAGTGCAGGGCTGACTTGGGCAGCGTGAATTTACAAAATGGCTGTGCTGCGTGGACGGCATGCATCTGCCCGTCTGCAGTGCCCGGCAAGGCGGTCGGCTTCTCTTTCTGTCACGCTTCGGAAAAATCGTTTTTTGTCCTTTTGTTGCACAGATGAATGAAAGTGTGTACGAGTAGCAGTTAGCTTTTAGCAGCAAGGATATGCTGTTGAAATGTCCCTGCTGGCCTCATCGTCACCGTTGCCGTTAGCCCTGTGTACCGCGGAGCTGCTGGATCTTACACATTTCGTGATATTTCAAATAGCTCTTAATAGAAAATTATTTAACAGACACCATTTATGTGTCAGATAGATATTATTCCATTATACTTTTATTATAATTATAATTGAATGTGTAAAATATTAAATGATGTCAACATGTTTTTTTTTTTATTTTAGAAATATTCTCTTGACCAACAGGAATGCATGACAGCCATCAATCTGACTTTCTATTTTGTTAACCACCTTAAACACCTTAAATGTATCACATTAACATTTTTTCATGGCTGCCTTATTCAGCGATGTGAGGTTCATTAAAAGAGGCAGTGACATCCTCCTCTTCTGTTTCTGTTGAAAGTACCTTGTGTAAATTAAACGTGAATGGAGCACATGGGACGATGTTGAACAAAGCACAGAACTGTCTTTACAAAGTCCGCTAGAGACTCTCCCCTGCCTGCAGACTCTTGCGACAGGATGTGTTTTGTTTGTGTGCCTAGATGCTGTTGCCAATGCTTTTTATTGTAACGCAATGGGTCACATTCCCGTCTCCTGCAGAACATTTGATACGGCGACAGCCTGTGTTTTTTTAACAGCAGATAAGTGAGTGTTTCGATACTTGTTGTTCAGAAGTGCACTGTCCCAGGACCAGACTGACTGAGCTGCTCCAGTTTGTCCGACACACGTCCGTGAGGCTGAATGTCCACGAGATGGGAGGTGGAGAACCTCACAACATTTTTAAGATGCTCAGATAGTGCTTCAGGAGAAATTCACCCTAATGTCCAATTCAGAGAGCAGGTGGTACAGCACATAGATTCACTGTGACAAGCCGTGTAAGTGTACATGCACACATGTGACGTCTCACGTAGATGTGCTCCTGTATATTTGCAACATGATCTATATGCTCATGAATGGAGTTGAAATGCTCATATGGACTGCTGGTAGTGAGGTTACTAGGTAAGGTATGTACTGTAAGCGGACCTCCCCCCACTCCCCCCAAAGTGATGGCACAGTTTTATGTGGCAGTGGGTATTAATTGACATCATGTTTTGGGATATGACCATATCTTGTTTTATTGACAGACTGTCTGTGGGGTATTCTTCCTGGTGTCGTGATGGAGTGTCTAATCGTCGTTCTCTCCATCGTGTCACGATGATCCGCCGCGAGGTCGCAGGCGATTTTCTTCCAGGGACGGATTTCCATCCCGATCCGTTCTGAATTTCCATGTAGGAATTTCAAGAAGCCAATAAAAAATCTCAGTGCTGCTGCAGCTGCACTCATGGCCCCCAGCAGACAGATTTGTAGATGAATTGATTAGTATGGGGCTGCTTTATTTAGATAAAACGAGAGTATGCCCCCCCCCCACAGACACACACACATACTTTGGGGGGGGGGGGGTCCCTTCTGTGGCCATAATCGGCCTACACAAAGGGTGACACTAGCAAAATCAAAGAGCAGGCTGTAGGAGTGCCCATTCAGAGCTGTGAAGAGTGATGCATTTTTAAAATCATAACCACAAGGAATGTAGCTAACCTTTTGAGCCCGTGATCTCATGCCCTGTTCAATTTTTCCTTTGTTCAGTCATACAGACGGGGTCTCATTCTCCTATCCAGGGGAGAACAGTATAGTCATATGTGCATTGCAACATGACCTGTAAATTAAAAATCCATTTTTTTAATTATTGTTAACTGGGGCTGCAGTTGCTAATTTCACTTTTCACCACATCTTGGCTCCAGTTACCGATGGCAAGGAAAAACTGCGTAAATTAGCCCTGGTTTGGCCTCATCTGTCCATGTTCGGCCTCATTTCTGGCAAAACAACCGTGAAAAAAAAAAGCGACAGAATGCCGTACATGTCGGGGGGGGGGGGGGGGCTCTTTTCAGGGGCCCCGTTAAAATGGGGGGGGGAACGCGGCTGGGCGGGGCGGGGGGGAGGGGGGGGGGGGGGGGGGGGGGGGGGGGGGGGCAAGACAGGTCAAACCACGATTTAAGTGGTGTAATTATCTCTGGAGGACCGCATCTGCCAAAATACATTCCAAAATAAAAAGAGAACTTAGTAACCAGCCACAGGGTAATAATTCTCGTAATTCATGAGGCGTGAGGACGGCACAGATTCCTGGCAAGCTCCCAGAACACAGTGGCTGCAGGCCGCGCAGGGTCTGTGCTGCCCCTCGCTAACCGTGCACGGTCCGAACTGCACTCCTACGCCAACCCCTTCTGGGATTGCAGAGCCTTTGCGTGGGGGGCTATGGCGGGGTCCCACTGGCCCCGCGAAGGGGTAGGGAAACCCCCAGGCACCCCAGCGAGCCATGCCTCCCCGTCCTCCCCCCCGGCGTATATAAATCATCAACATGCCGCTGTGTAGCTGTGCTGTTCAGTGGAAGCTAATAGCAATGCAGCATTCCACATCGCCGTGGATACCGCCGTTTGTTCACAATGAAACACGCTGACCGTCATTCTGCGGCAGCATCCTTCAAAATCTCATTGAATGGCATGAGGTCATTTTGGGAATTTACACTTGTCAGTGATTTGATTCTTTTTTAAAATGATTATTTTAGTTGTTTTATGATTATTTGGTTTTACTATAATACAAACCCTTAACATCTGAACAGGCTATATTGCACTGTAGATTAACAGTGCAAATCAGATTAATGTAAATGTTTAAGCAGTAAAAATACTTCAATATCTTCTTCTTATAGGTATCTAAAAGATTCAGCTTTCACAGAGATAAATTAATTTTTGGTCTTTTTGAAATTTTGCTTAATTTGAATATTACACAGTGACAAAAACAGATAAACTGTAGTATTCCTGTAGCCCTTCATTTGCTAAGATCCTGCCTTGATGCTGTAGTACTTTGAGAACAAAATAGTTTTTATCAGGGTGAAAAGTGAAAAACAAATGCTTTTCGCTAATAAGAAACACGTCTCGCAATGCTAACTGATAAACTTGGAAGATATTATTTAGCTACGAAGGCAGGATACGGCCTTCTCTGTAGCAGAGCCAAGGCCCGGACCTCACGCAGAGAGAGATGTTTATGCGTCCTCTCTCTGCCGTGGCAGATGTGTTTACGTGATTGAACGCCACGCAGTGACTCTAATCTCTCATCAGTGAGCTGAAACAGCACTTTTGTTCCTGAAGATTTCTGCAAAGAGCACATGGCAAAGTGTGAAACCACGATAAAAACGGCCTCACTTCAGCTTCCTCACTGAGAGGTGTAACATGCACCTGATCGTTGTCTCTAGGTGATCTGTTCACACGCCTCCTTTTGTAATGAAACATAAAAAACATTCGCAAGTTACATATTATATATTTTTCCAAGAAATATATCAGTATCAGAAATTTTTACCAAGAAAGAAAAAAGCTTTTTTGATCATTTATTTGATGTATTTTTTTGGCATTTTACCAAAAGCTTGTAACGGTAACTCTTCACTGCAAACGGTGTGTGCGAGCTAATGAAGGCTCTTGCTTGAGCATAATGTCCTTTCTGTCACCTTACTAGTCCTACATAGATATCATTTTATGATAACCCTTAAGTCCACTACCTGAGACATTCTTCAGTTAAACAGAGATAAAATGTTTGCTGCTGTTACAGTTTAAACATGGCATTCCTCCCCTCACGAATTGTGAGACTAATATAATCCTAATAAATGTTAGAATAGTGACAGTGCCAGGGATTCAAACCAAACATGCATTATCTTTTAAAAAAGATGCACTTGTTTACTCAGAAACAATGTTTGGAAACATTAATTAATAACACGTATTAACTAGCATTAACTAATAATAATAATAATAATAATAATAATAATAATGACAGTTCAGTATTATTTCCCCAATGTTCGGTTACTGATTATTATTTTTGGACAAGTTGTTAGGGTAATTTGCACTGTAACTTGCCACCTTATTGTTATTCATTTCAGCTTTCATTATAGTGGAAATTATTTATACACTGTGTTGCTGAACACCACACATAGAGGTAAATGGAAGCCATTGTCTCCGGCTGCGTTTGGTACAACATGAGAAAAAGGCACCTGCACAGAGCCATTTCCTCCACAGACATGCTGCCGCATTTGAAGGGTCTCGCTCCTGTTTTCTTGATGCTCGTCTTGGGAGCCGTATTGTTCCGTTGTAATATCCATTGGGCACATCGTCAGCTCTGGCTGAACATTTGACAGCCATCAGTAAAATTTCTCAAGATTACAGCACTACTGTCTACCATCCTGACAAGATACCATTTATTCTACTCGAAAATTTACTCCGAATGTCTAAAAAATAGCGGGTTTCACAGTCATTAGCAGCACCTTTACACAAAGTACCATACTGTAGCTTGAGAACACTACATGATTAAATACTTGATTAAGTTCTTTGCTGTATATAATAGTAATTACTATTTTTACTGAGCACATTGCAGTTTTTCATAATCTGTCGCTTCCGTATTCTGCCATATTCAATAGGCAGAACTGAAGCGTTAATAAAACCAGCAGTTTTTTCCACAACATTAACAGAGAGCAAATTCATTTTTAACACAAGGTAATGTGTCGTCCTGGTCTATTTGTCAGCTTCTGTGTGGTGCAGGAGATGCATCTCCCTGTATGTCGGTTATATCCCTTGAAATTGTTAT